CTTGTATTTTCTCCTCTCTCATCTCTCTTGTATATTTTTCCCTCTCATGACTAATAGGCAATGAGCTCTATTTATAATAATAACACTTTCTCTCTCCTAAAAGCCCAAAAATATAAATTTGAAATTTGAAATCTTTACCAAAAACTAAAGAAAAATCTTTTACCCTTAAATGAAATTTTAAATGCAATTTTCAAAAATAAGATTTCTGATTTTTTCAAATAAAAAATATGTAAACTTGAAATATCTTATTCTATTATGCAATGAATTCTAATCTAAATCTTCGACAAATAATATTTTATTTCTCTTACATAAAATCTATCCTAAACTTTACTTGATTCCGTGTTTTTCTCTCTCTTCATGATATCTTCCATATATTCTCTAATCTTCATGTAATCTTCAGTTATCTTGAATACTATTTCATATCAGAATAAATGTTATTCTGAAATCTCAAACAATCAGCTCATTAGTAATTTCAAGACAATAAATATTATCAATTAAATTAACATTAAATTATTTGTAATCATCAAAACATATTTTAAATTAATTAAACAATTTGGGTATAACAAATATCCAACAATTTGTTCCCCCTATTGATGCCGAAGGTCTGATGAACAATTGCCTCCCAAGGTAGAACGAATGTACGTCTCTAGAGTGTGATGACTCTAACAATCTGGAGCCCTTACGAACACAACAGAATGCCAGAGAAATCGCACTATCTAATACTATGATATGGCTACACAATGCATGCATGCAAGACATAAAAGTTTTGGCAGAGTAACGATGCAAAAATTATGGATGAATTTATGACGGGGTGAACATTTATATATTGACATAGGGCACGATGAACCGCCGCCAGCGAACCTTCGTGACTAACGGCTGCGAACCATTACAACCAGTGATCGGCTCGGTTCAAAATTAACTGAATGCACCGTTTCAGTTCAAAATCGAAAACAAAAAGAGAAAATCAGTTTAGTTCAAAATAGGCGGGAAGCAACATTTAAGTTTGAAAAAGTCTGGAGGGAAGCAACAAATAAGACATGTATTTTGGAAAAAAAATTATTTAATTAAAAATTATTTTTATTTCTCCTCCACAAAATTGGTTTGCCCCAAGGGGAAAACTAAAGATGTGAGGTGGATCTTTATAAACCTTCATATTTCTCACTACTTGTCCAATGTGGGACTTCCGTTTCATCTTCCTTCTTTTTTTTTCTTCCTCAACCCACTTCTTATTCATAACCCATAGAATTTAGATACAAAATCCAACATATTTTTAATGATTTAGATGCCATTTTTTTCTTACAATATCAAAAGAAGATAGCTAATTATTTTAGGGGAAATATTACTCTCATGTTATATGTGAGAGAAATTCTCCCATGTACTCACAAATCAAAGATGAGACGTACTCTTTTTTTTCTCTCCTCTAATTTGTGAGTACATGAGAAATTTTTTCTTTCATGTAATATGAGAATAATATTCCCTTTATTTTAGACTATAAAATAAGATAATAACGTAAGCATTGAAAAAAAACCCCAAGGGTAGCTCAATTGACAACTAAGAACCCAAGGGGTTGGATGGTTTAGGGTTCAAATCCTGGTGTTGCGAACTCGGCAAATGCACCGGTCGTACAAGTAATAAAGTGATAAGAAAAGTTGCCGATCCCACGAGGACTGATGACCAAGCAATAATTTATCTATTTAACTAAAGTTAGATCTATCGTGAAAGGATTTCTTGAAAATATTTTAATTAAATTAAAACAGAATTTGTAAACTTATTTTTTTAGTTTCTAATATTTTAGAAAATAAATTCAGAATTAATAAATCTAAAAATTGAGTTTAAGTTTTAATAAAAAGGCGTAGCTAGGATTCAACTTCCCCAATGATTTCTTAACGAGTTTGCCTATACGTACGATTACGTTCAAGATCAAATTATTAACAACTTTTTCTATGATTGATTAAATCTCAATCCCTTGGTAATCCAATCCTTTATTCTAATCCAAAGCCTAACCCCATAGTAGTTTTTAATAAAATAAGCATTAACGCAAGAACCTACGGTTATAGAATTCATAAGTCTATCCCTAGATCATACAAATTCTAGCAATCAACCAATCGGAATCGATACACCAACATCCCTATTGTCATGCACGACTCTAATGCTCATTCAAGATTGGCCAGATGATAAATAAGACTAAGAATAAATTGCAGATTGATTGCATAACTTAAATCAAGAATATAAATCATAATAAAAGCAAACAGTGTTCAAGAACCCACTAGTTCTGTCTCACCCTAAATACTAAAAGGAATTTAGCTATGCATAATTATAAAAACAAAATTAAAAGATAATGGAAAATAAATAAAGTTCATGATGAAACTTGATTAATGAAGACGATCAAAGATGCAGAATGATTTTTGGTTCCTTCCCCTTTGCCAGTATTCCTCTTCCACCACGAATTTCGTCTCGTCTGTGACTCCCTTCTTTCTTCGCGTTCCAGAATTCTCTCCACGATTTTCTTCGCGTTATATTTAAAGAGAAATTATGAGCTTCTGAGTCTGGACCCGCTCGCCGAGGATCTCGCTGAAGCGAGCTGCTCAGCAAGTATTTTCTTCTTCTCGCTCACTCACTCGCTTAAGCGAGGAGTGAAGCGAGCTTTGTTGTGTTGCTCGCTCACTTGCTCGCCGAAGTGAGCAGTGGAGCGAGCTTGACCAAATAATTTATTTTTAATTATTTCTTAATTTTCGCTTCATATCTTTCAGATTCTTCAGATTGCAACCGATCTTTCATCGTTATCAGGTTAGTAATTTGTTTTTCTAGTATGAAACAACCTCAAACAATAACAAAGATTAGGATCTTATCTATTTGTTGGCAATTTACTATCTTTTAATATATTTTTAATTAATACTATATTTTTAATTATTTTAATTATTATTTGAACTACATTTAATATTAAAAGCATAATATATTTGACACTTATCAAATCATTCTCAGATTTACTCATTGCTGTCCTCAGCAATGAATGGAATTAAAAACATGGAAAAATATAAGCATGCTTAATATAAAACTAGACAATATATTAATTCAAGAATGATCAAACTTAGGAAGAAAATAATAGGATTTTTAAGAGCCAACATTTAACTAAGCAGTCTTTGAAGTGTGCAGATTATAAGATCAAAGTATGAGTTCTATCAATCAAGCATAAAAACTGAATTTTAACATATCCCTCACTAGATATATCAAGTCACTCATCACTCATTTGTCTAAGGGTAAGTGTTTCATTCAAATTTTTCACTGTATCAATATTTTCATAAGCTTGATAATATTCTCACTTTCCACAGGTAATTTACATACACAAAAGATCAAGAGGTCTTTATTTAGGTTGTAATGGAGCTGGGCTAAAGGTAGGATAAATGAGAAAAAACTAGCTAAAACATTGAAATACAGAAAAATCATGGTAAAGTGTAAACACTCAAACAATAATCATTTTTCTCCTTTCTTTCCTCCTTTTTCTTTTTCTTTTCTTTTTCAGACTTTTGTATTTTTCTTTTTCTGTGTTTTTCTTCTTCAACCCCTAATACTTTTCTTTTTCATTTTCATTTTCTTTCAACACTTTTATTTGCATAGAAGAAATAAATATTTTTCTTTTTCACCATTTTCAACTTTTGTTTTTGCTCCATTCACGTATCCTCCTTTTTCACCACTTTGAATTACATGATAAAGTAGCCATGTTTACACCCTACCATGAAATTTCTATAATCCAATCTTATTTAAGGTAGATGTGTATATGGAGTGGCTAATTAAGACACCAGGTATTAAGAACAGAAAAGGCTTAGGCTCAAAGGCCTAAACAAAGGATATCATAATGGTTGGCTTTGTGGCTAACTAGCTAAAACAATAAAATGCCTCAATCATTTCAAGCATACATGTAAAACAACCATTTTAAGGAGAAACAAAGCAAGTTCTGGTAATATTTTCAACAGCAAAATGCACACTAAAAAGAAATTTCTGTTTAGGCTCAAACCTCACGGTTATATGTGTGTAATTCAGTAATTTATGCTCTTTCTCAATCACTCATACTGCAATCTCATTATTCTTACTGACTCTTAGACTAACTCAATCAATGTTTATTCCTAAAATAAAAAAAATATTCTAAGTCATCACATCATAAAGTAATTTTTACTGACTAATTCTAACTTAGCACGATTTAGTAATTCAGACAGAAAGAAGAAATAAAATAAAATAAAGAGGAATAAGGAAAAGAATTTTCCCTGTGTTTTTGAAAAAAATTACGGTTTTACTCATCGTAGGGATCATAGTTGTACCAACTTCTACTACGGCTACTATATATATTTAGGAATTTGTTGTCCTCAGCAATTAATAAATCAAAAAGAAAGAACTGCACACATCATCTCAAAAAATATCATCAGATAAAGTCGCCAGTAGCAATCATGCTCACAACAGAGTCAGAAAAATAAAATTTGAACATCACCAGAGTCATCACTAATCAAAACAGATAAACAAAACAGATAAACAAAAGAAAAATAAAACTAGAATGGTCCTAAAAAGAAATCTACTGGCATCATAAAATAAACTAAAATAATTAACTTACAAGCGATAAATTCTTAGGTTGCCTACTAAAAGAGCTTGTTTAACGTCATTAGCTTGACGTTACATCTTCATTAGTCATGGCGGCTTGTAGCCGGAATTCAAAGATGATGTCATTCCTTTTATCATAAATACTGTTTTGCCGTAATAGTACTCTTGTGCATATGAGCAAGAAGGTTTGGCCTCAAGAACTCTAAACTTAGTCTTGATGTGCTTTCCCTTGCTCTTAGGCTTTGCCAAATTCACCTCCGGCTTGCAACTCTCATCTGACTTATGATCTTTCTTTTCTTCCTCTTCAGCCTTTTTTTCCTCAGTAAAGAAAATTTTCTCTGGCTGAGTTGTAGGTGGTGGAGTTTATTTTTCAAACATTTTGAGAATAGCCCTTTCTCCTTCCACCCTTAAGATCAATTCACATCAATTAACGCTCCAGAGGTTGCTAAGAAAGGTCTCCCAAAGATCATGGGAACAATAGCGTCCTCCTCTATATCCAAGATAACAAAGTCCATCGGGAAGATGAACTTGTCCACCATAACAAGTATGTCCTCTATTACTCCATATGCTTGCTTGGTGGAGCGGTCAGCTAGTTGCATAATCATATTGATCAGCTTCACTTCTGTGATTCCCAACTTCTTCATCATAGATAATCGCATTACGTTGTTGCTGGCACCTAAATCACATAAAACTCTCTCTATTGTCATCGAGCCAATCGTGCAAGGGATACCAAAACTCCCCGAATCCTTTAATTTTGGAGGTAAATTCTTCTACGGGATTGCAATACACTGCTCTGTCAAGATAGTGGATCCTTCTACTGCGAGCTTTCGCTTCTTGGTTAGGATCTCTTTTAGAAACTTAGCATATGATGGCATTTGCTCTAAAGCTTCCGCAAAGGGGATATTGATGTGCAGCTTCTTAAAAATATCTAAGAATTTAGAGAAATTTTTCTTCTGCCCCTGCTGCTGTAACCTCTGAGGATAAGGAGCCTTAACATAAGAATTGTCTTCAAGTGCTTTCATCCTTTCCTCTAAAGAAAGCTTCTTTATTACTTTCTTACGTGGGGTATCATTTAATGGTCATCCAAAAATTGTGACATCTTTATCGATAGGGTCATCAGCTTTCTCTTCAGCAGGATTTTCCTTCTCTGCATCTTTTTCACTACTCGGTGCAGCTATTGGTTTTTCCCCACATTTCCTTGTAATGATGGCATTACATTGTTCCTTGGGATTAATAGTTGTATTACTAGGAAAGGTTTCTAGAGGCCTCTCAGCCATCTGTTTGGCAAGCTGACCAATCTGAATTTCCAGATTTTTAATAGATGCTTCTTGATTTTTGAGAGATGCTCGGGTTTCTTCCATAAAAATTGTTTGACCTTGACTCATCTTTTCGAATGCGATTTCCTAAGCTGCCTTTTGACTAGATTACTATGGTTGAATTCCCAGATTGGCTTGTTGTGGTCCTCCTTGATTATATGAAAGTGTAGAATGGTTTCTCCAGCCAGGATTATAAGTGTTGCTGTAAGGATTGTTCTCCCTAAGTTGGTCGTACCAAAGAGAATTCACCTGAGCTGGATTTATAGTAACTATAGCCTCACATTTATCGACACTATGAGGTCCGCCACAAGTGTCACAGACTACAGGAAATTGAGAGTTGATTGCAAAAATTTGATTTTAGGTAAAGAGTTTAATAAGTGAAGCCTTTGATCCATCTTGTCTTGTTTGGCTAGCATGGTGTCATACCCTTCTAAATGCACAACTCCTCTCTTAGGTTGAACTGGTGTGACCTCGTTATCTTCAGATGCCATCTTCTCAATTAGCTCGATAGCCCTAGTTGGAGTGATTTTTCCGATGCTTCCTCCAGCTGCAGCATTAAGGAGTACTCTACATGTTGACGTAACTCCTTTGTAAAAGATCCGGACCTTTTCGCCATTCGATAGAACGTACTACGGACATCTCCTGATTAGTTCTTTAAATCTTCCACATCCCACGCACAGGGATTCGCCTTCGAGCTGCTTGAAATTGTCAATATGTTCTTTCAGCTTGAAGAATCAGGAGAGTGGGAAAAACTTCTTTTGAAATTTTCCAACTAATACTTCCCACGTGGAGATGTTATCAGCAGGTTGCAATTCCAACCAATTAAGTGCTCTTCCTTTTACAGAAGAAGGAAAGAGTATCAGTCGGATTGATTCAGCAGGTACCCCATTAATTTTAATAAGGTTACACAACTGTACGAATTTAGAGATATGGCGGTTTGGGTCTTCAATCGGGTCTCCGTCAAATAGATTACTTTGGATTAAATTTAGAAATGAGACTTTTATTTCGAAGTTATTCGCTGGGATTTGTGGTCTTCTAATACTCGCAGTCGGATGCGAGAAATTAGGGTTTAAGAAATGACTCATCAGTTCTTCGGGAGGATTTTGATTTTCCTCGGCCATGATTGGTTCTTCAGGAGAACTGGAGCTCGGAGCATCTTGTGTCTTCTTCGCGGTCAAACGCTTCCTATTAGTTCTTTCTAGTTGTCCTTACTCTGGTTCGTACTGTAGGTCACTGGGGTTAACAGTGCCTCGCAGATGCATAAACTAGAAAACTAAGGCTTAGTGAAACCAACTAACGAAAACCACTAACTAACAGAAAATTTAAATTTAAAATTAAAGTAAACAATTTAAACTAAGAAAACAAAATAAAATAAAAAAAATAAAAAAAATAAATAACAATTAAAATATTAAACTAACAATAAAATAAAATGACAATAAAAATAAAAATAACAAAAATAACAAAAAATAAAAGGAAATAAAATAAAATAAGCAAAATAAAAATAAGAGAAACAAAAATAAAATTAAAAATAAAACAAAGAAACTAAAAAACAAAACTACTAAAATAAAAATAAAAATAAAAAAATGATCCAATCTATAATTTTATAGATATGATTAATGTTGATTAAATCAGTCCCCGGCAACGGAGTCAAAAACTTGTTGCGAACTCGGCAAGTGCACCGGTCGTACAAGTAATAAAGTGATAAAAAAAGTTGTCGATCCCACGAGGACTGGTGACCAAGCAATAATTTATCTATTTAACTAAAGTTGGATCGATCGTGAAAGGATTTCTTGAGAATATTTTAATTAAATTAAAACAGAATTTGTAAAATTATACTTGTACTTTTTAATATTTTAGAAAATAAATTCAGAATTATTAAATCTAGAAATTGAGTTTAAGTTTTAATAAAAAGGCGTAGTTAGGATTCAACTTTCCCAATGGTTTCTTAACGAGTTTGCCTATACGTACGATTACATTCAAGATCAAATTATTAAAAACTCTTTCTATGATTGATTAAATCTCAATCCCTTGGTAATCCAATCCTTTATTCTAATCCAAAGCCTAATCCCTTAGTACTTTTTTCATAAAATAAGTATTAACACAAGAACCTGCAGTTATAGAATTCATAAGTCCTTCCCTAGATCATACAAATTCCAGCAATCAACCAACCGGAATCGATACACCAACATCCCTATTGTCATGCACAACTCTAATGCTCATTCAAGACTGGCTAGATCATAAATAAGACTAAGAATAAATTACAGATTGATTGCATAACTTAAATCAAGAATATAAATCATAATAAAAGCAAACAGCGTTCAAGAACCCATTGGTTCTATCTCACCCTAACTACTAAAAGGAATTTAGCTATGCATAGTTATAAAAAGATAATGGAAAATAAATAAAGTTCATGATGAAACTTGATTAATGAAGACGATCAAAGATGCAGAATGATTCTGGTTCCTTCCCCTCTGCCAGTATTCCTCTTCCGCCACGGTTTTGGTTTCGTCTCTGACTCCCTTCTTTCTTCCCGTTCCAGAATCCTCTCCACGGCTTTCTTCGTGTTATATTTAAAGAGAAATTATGAGCTTCTGAGTCTGGACCCGCTCGCTGAGGAGCTCGCTGAAGCGAGCTGCTTGGCGAGTATTTTCTTCTTCTCGCTCACTCACTCGCTTAAGCGAGGAGTGAAGCGAGCTTTGTTATGTCAAGCAGTGGAGCGAGCTTGACCAAATAATTTTTTTTTAATCATTTCTTTATTTTCGCTTCATATCCTTCAGATTCTTCAGATTGCAACCAATCTCTCATCGTTATCGGGTTAGTAATTTGTTTTTCTAGTATGAAACAACCTGAAACAACAACAACAAAGATTAGGATCTTATCTATTTGTTGGCAATTTACTATCTTTTAATATATATTTTTTAATTAATACTATATTTTTAATTATTATTTGAACTACATTTAATATTAAAAGCATAGTATATTTGACACTTATCACCTGGATCATGCAACCTCTTGAAAAATATTTGAGGGGCAGAGGACGTGCCTATCTCCTCGAGAGAGAATTAGTCTCATCCTTCCTCCGGTGGCATAACCCAATGTAACTGGTGTTTCAATGAGGAGGTAGTCTTTTAGGCCATACTTCAAGAACAAGTTGGCTGAAGGAGGTTGAATGAGAATATTTTCAGATTTATACCCAAAAAGAAATAATAATTAAATGGGCTACATTTTCAGTTATACGAAATATATTGCTAGCTAGCTAGAAATTAAGTCGCATTGCATGTCCTTGAATTGCGCAGCGGGCACATGGCACGTCAACATCGAGCCGATAGCCTGATATCTGGCCATAGCTAAGTCATCACATCACGTTCTCAAATTGGAGGTCGTAGTCATCATCTTCTATTCTTCTATCCTTCTTCATATAAACATGCACGTTTCTTCTTCTTTTTTATACACAGCATCAAACCCAAACTTGTTTCTGCCTTTCTGTGATCTATTTTGGTGTTAAATGATTGAAGATACCATGAAGTAGCTAACCTGCATGCGCAATAAAAAGAAACTAATCAAAGGACATGTTCTCTGATATTATTCACATGGCTACAATTTTTTTTTTTGAAAAAAAAAAAAGGTGCAACATTAATGATACATGTATCTTCTCTCCCCTAGCCTACCCCATTTTCTCTTTGCTCTATATTCTCAGTCAACAATAATAAAAAGGTGCAACATTTTTATGATGTTTTTTTAATGCCAAAGAGAATAACTAATAGCTATACTATACCTCCTCGACAAATATAATATAAAATATAAAAATTATTAATGTGTCTTCTGTTAAAATTTTTGAGTTGAAATGATTCTTAATATGGTATCAGAACCTATGCAATCAAGTGGTTACGAGTTCTATCTTCACCACTGTATTTCATAAAACATAATTAATTAAATATTGTGAAGTTTCTTAGCATAGGTAAAAAGACATATATATTATTCATATTCAAATCCAATTAGCTCTTATGTGAGGGTGTGTATTAAAGAAATATAATATAAAATATAAAAAATAAAAATACTATTATACCTACACATAATAACTTAAATTTTTGGGTTAAGATTGTTATTAGCAATACGGTTATGCAAACTTTCCATCAAGTTTTATACTCTCAAATTTGAATATTCGGACGAGAAGTTGATAACTAATATACATGCCTGGTAGATGAAATTCGTCAATTAAAATATGCTTGACGTACGGAATATGCTCATCCATATCATTATATGATTGGGTTTAGTTTTTCTTGAATCTAAAACCATTGAAATCTGAAAATAAAAACTCAGATCATTTTTAAAAAAATTCATAATTCATGTTATAAGAATGAAATAAAATTCCCAAAAAACTCTATAATTCTAAAACAATGTTAGTTTAGGATTGCAGGTGATAATTTCATATGACAGGAGAAATATTTCCCTATATGATTATATATTTTTAGAGTTTGGTCTTTTTATTTTTTGTCTTGAGGCTTATGTCTTAAATAAAAGTATTAAAATTAACTGTTTCATGATAGACAATGTTGTGGTTTTTTAAATTATATGGAGTTGAATTTAGAAAAATCTATATGTGCTTTTTAAAAAGCTGAATTGGATCGATAACCTATAGAAAATCAATCCAAAAACCAAGTTGTAGACTCTCTCTCTCTCTCTCTCTCTCTCTCTCTCTCTTAATT